TGCTCTTCGTTTCACCTGCACCTCAGCTATCCTTTCCAGTTGAAAGCGGATTAGATATTTTTATTAACGTCTGTTTAATCTCAAGGCGCGCATGATAAATTTTATTTGTTTCGCGTTTTCTCTGTGTTATGTGAACCAAATTTGACAGACGAACTCTTTTAAGATCGTCCAAATACGACCGCTCGACCGTTGTGACGAACAATTTCTACTGTGTGTGCTAGCGTATAGTGGTGCAGGGCATTATTTCATAGTGATAACAGACTTTCGCGGCACCTTTCGCACTCTCTCCATCCTCACTCATTTCGGCCTTTTTGACAAGTCCGAGTCAGAATGAGCGGAAGCAGTGTGTAACCAAGCTAAACAGTCTATCCACGCGTACCACAAACGACCTACTCACTCCAGATGGACAAGCATCTTGCCGAAAAGGGGGAGACTTGGACTCCGTCTTAGCGGGAATACCAAGAAGATCACATTATAAAGGCGCGATTTATCTTAGTAGTTGGTAAGTTTCCAAGTTTGTACATTAAGTGTGTCCTGATAGTGTCAAAACATGACAAATTGTTTACGATGAAGAATGCGTTGTAGTAAAATGGGGCTGGATGAGTGAGAATCGACCTCACTCCCTCTGATCTTTCTTTCAGGCACCAGCTCACTGTGCAGGATGGTCCGCTATCTGGTTCAAGGGCTGGGTGTAATTGTCGGCATTGCGAGAAGCCTACATCTAGATAGAGCAAAACACTCCTGTATGGCATTTGTTATTTACTACGCTGATCCTGTGCACTGCCCAAATATTGTTTCCGTTTTGGTCCAGCACCCCCATAGCACAACCACCGTCTAAATGAACATAGCTTTCTAGCCCTTTTATTCAAAAAGGTCTATTGGCCTTACTTATTTATAGTTTCCTAATCTTACGTTGAAAATTATTTCTGCAGGAACTTCGTGACTTCCCTATAGTTCTAGCACAAATGCGTCTCTGCCCCTACTGGTTGTTACTAAGTCGAGGCTTATGGATTTTATTGAAGCTTTTGAGAGATTAGATCGTCCGATTTGTAGGGAAGGCTGAAATCAACGATTTCCAAATAACTGAAACAATGGTTTTCCAAAATAACTTTCAACAAGGCAAAGGCGACGAAATACGGAGAAATTATGGATTACATCGAATTTCGCGACCTCTTATTCAATTGCGTGTGGTCACTTCCTATTAAAAGCTAGGTAAACTATCGAATTAGAAATCGACCTAGAAGAGCGAAATGTGATAGGTAAATAAGGCATGAATCTATAAAATTTCAGTCCTCTAGGTCGATGTTTAATTGGACAGTGTCTCTTTTCTTCTTAGTAGGCACTGACCGTCAAATAGCCCCGCCAAAAAGAAGCGACCACAAGGGAATCGGTCCTCAGGTAAAACTGTTTTAATCAGTCTCTCATTTCATCTGCAGACCCGATTTTCATTCAAAGTAGTGTTAACCAAATAGGGTTGAAATGAATCATCCACGGTAATAGTGAATATGGTCAATAGCAAAATGAGGGTGAGGAAGAAGATTTGACCGAACGCAAGTTATCGGTTCAACCATATTTGTAACTCACCGAGCAAGTACGTCAGCCGCATGATAGCTGATGGGCAAGCCTGCGGCCTCTGGACAGAGCAGCATTTCCTGTTCCAAGGCAATGAGTCGTGTAAGCATCTCCATGTCTTCCTCGCTCATCTGATAGTACTCTACCTCCTCATCTGTAATTTCATCCGGTGGCACAAAGACCTCTGGGCTCTTTGGGGCACGACGGAAGGGAAAGAAATTAGGGGGAAATAAAGACGTTAGTCACTTGCGTCCGCAGCGAAAGTTTCTTCAACGCTATTTAGTTGTAGCTCGCTGTTACGAACATCTTATTTGTTGTGCATGTGATAACATTAATCTCCTCCAAGCCTCGAATAAATGAACTACTCTAAACATTCGGCCTAATGCCCAGATTTTAACTTAGAGAGTTTGGTAAATGCAGCTGTAAGAAAGGTACTGCATTTGTAAACAAGCACACGTAAACAAACTGGAGTAAACGATTCAGTCCCTCCACCAAAATATCCGCTTGATTCAGGATTTTATTCCTTACCTCAATCCTGCTATTATTAGACTTTCCAACCTCCACAACACTCGTCTGCCGGTACTTTAAAGTGCAGTTTTTATATTTGTTCTCTCAATGAGACTGCTCTGACTGTGGACAAGTAAATTTATCTTACCCAACTTAAAGTTCCAGGCTGGCGGCATTTTTACTCGAAGTCAGACTAGCATAACTGTCTGGAGGTTAAAAAAATAATGATAAACATTGGCAGCATTTCCCGCAGGAAGGAACCATCGACAAAAAGGGGAGGGACTAGGCGGGGTATTTCTGACTTCTTAGCCATCATCAGTCAGCCTTACCCAAAAATAGGTCTGAGTGCATCTGTGGCTGGAATTTCCGTTCTCATTGTTAGTATTCTAACACTCTAACCAGTGAACAGCGGGCTAATTGTCCAGCCGGTTGCGATATGAGCTGATAACTAAGGTAGGGGAAGGTTGACTAGTTTCGGTAGGGAACTACTCGCGCTTTTGTGCTCGATCTAAAGTCCCGTAAGCAGAACTAGTCCTCCTAGTCGGTTGTCTTCACCTTTATGTATTACGTTTCGTTGTGCGAATGTCTATGGAACTATAAATAGAACTCCAGTGCAGAATAGAGCGAGTGGTACCCCTAAGGCTATCGGTAGGCGTCCGTCTACCATAGCCATTTTTTCTTCTTCCGCTACTTTCTCGCCCTATTTTTATCAACCGATTCGGAAAAAAATTTTGCGTGTCTCGCCTACCTGAAATGGCAATGGCCTTTTGCCTTATTGCAAATGAGTCCTTTTTTCTTCAAGGTACTTAATATCAGGACTAAGTGCTTTTTGCCCAGCATCAGTAGCCGTGTCAAAGGCACCGACCACAAAGCCCCGTATATTCTGATTAAATATACAGAATAACTAACAACCACTTGAGAAAGAAGGATGTAATGAAAGTTCAGAACACATTCCTACATTCAGTACTGAAACTTTCAGACAGTAGCTAAACACAGCATGGTCCGAATCCTGCTCCCTTAATGCAAAATATCATCATTTTCCGATGTGCCTCAAAACTTTCGGGACCGCCTAGTCTGCAGTTCAAAAATCACCCACTGACTACGGCTTGGGCATAAATGATAATTAGCAGGTCCCTTCAGGTTTTGTAGGCACATCGTCGCACATAAATCGTTGTTTAGCAAAAAAGGCCTTTGCCGTCGGA